TGCCACCAGGGTTATTTTATGGCCTAAACTAACCTTCAGATACCTAATAGAGGACATAAGAATGGTATTTATAAGAGTAACAAGTTTAGGAACTCTGGTGGCCTAGTCCAAGAAGCTGTGCTGCAATCCTAAAGGCAAGAGGTTCGAGGCCACCAGATGCTCTGTGGAAGAAGGATAGGAAGTCCCCTCCCGTGTGATTAACTGCCTCTGAAAACCTGCCAGAGGGTCAGTTCCAACTCTGTGGTACACAACAATGGTGGCCTAGTGGTAAAAAGCTGCACTACAATTCTAAAAAGTAATTAAAAAGCATACAGCTTAAATCCACCAGCTACTCCACAGGAGAAAGACAAATGGCCTTTGGTGGGGATAGTAGAATGGGGAAGTGTAACCTGTTTAGAAACAGTCCAAGTTAAAAATGGACCAGGAAAACCTCAACTTCCACAACCCTGAGACCAGAAGAATTAGGTTGTGTCCTAACTTCCGTTGCTGGCCACTCTCTAAAGCATCATAATAGAAGATCCCATTGGCTGACGCAGAACCATTTCAGGAAGCAGTCAGGAAACCAAAAGACAAACTGAATAGGGAAAATCTGTCACAGACCTCATTAGTCAGTTTAGAAGCTAAGGTGTCCTGATCCAGCCCATGATCTTCTCCATTTATTGTTGTGCTTCTGAGAACTGGACAGTGATTAAGGATGACAGAGAATTAATGCCTTTAGGTTGTGGTGCTGGATATGAGTCTTGAACCTACTATCGACTGTCAAGAGAACAAATAGTTCTGTCCTGCAGGGAGTTAAACCAGTTTGCTCTTTGGAGGCAGGGATTTTGAAGCTCCGTCTCACATACTTTGGACATATTGTCAGCAGGCTCCAATCTTTGGAGAAGGATAGAGAGTTCTTAGAATGGTAGAGGGTCAGCGCAGGAAAGGTAGACCCTGGATAAGATGGATTGACACAGTGACTATGGCAGTGAGGACAGGCGTACCAGAGGTGGGGAGGTTAGCTTAGGATATGGCAAGATTGAGAGCCATTGTTCATAATAGGATCACTATCTGGAAGGCATGTAACAGGTGACTGTTAACATCAGAGAGTCATTGACTCCTTAGGCAAATGTTGGCCTAAGAATAAAGCCCTGGAGGCAGGAAGAGGTAAGCTGGAAGGATATGTGGAAATCAGTTATAGGGGGAAATATAAAATGGATGATTACATTACGTTGTGGGTATTTTAATTAATATTATGAGACAAAATATGTATGAATGGTTGAATGAAAAGCCATTTTTTAAAAAAAAAACATGTTTCATTCGAATCATAATAAGTAAATAAAATGAAGAGCAGGGAGAAGAGCAGTCAGTTTACCAGCTGCAGTGGCATCTACTCTGACTCACAGGAACCTCATATGTGTCACAGTAGGACTGTGATTCACAGGATTTTCAAGGACTGAGCTTTCAGATTTAGATTACTGGGTCTTTTTGGTTTGGGGTTTGGTGGTTTTTTTCTGAGTGGATTCCCACTGCCAGCATTTCAGTTAGCCACAAAGCTTGGGAGCCATTGGCACTCCCCAGGAGTTCAGTTAGAGTAGCTGACCTCAGGTGTCATAGAGTGTGGCCCAACGCACAGCGACCCTGAGTGGAAAACACAGACACTTAGGAGAAAAAAACGGATCATTTAGAACCATTACTTAAGTTTGTCTGGTTTTCTATTTAAGTACAACAGAGAAAAGTATTCAGTGTAAGTAAGTTCAGTGAATTTTTTTTTAAACAGTAAACTATACATCACTGGCATCAAGAAATGCAACTTTTCACTTGAAAAATATAACTAGCATATGTAGAAATGGTTGGATTTTAGTATGTTTTTTGTGTATGATTTCACATACAAATAGAAAATTAGAATGCACAAAAAGAAATACCTTCAAAAAAACTGTAAGTTATCATCTCTCCCCGGAAAGAAAGAAAAATTTAACAGAGCAGCAAACAACAAATGCTGGCGAGGTTGCAGAGAAACTGGACCCTTATTCACTGTTGGTGGAGTGTAAAATGGTGCAACCACTATGGAAGGCTGTATGGCAGTTTCTCAAAAAATTGCAAATACAGATACCATTTGACCCAGCAATTCCACTACTGTGAATATACCCTAAAGAAACCATAACTGCCACCGAGGCAGATATATGCACACCCATTTATATGGTGGTTTTGTTCACAATAGCAAAGAGCTGGAAACAACCCAAGTGCCCATCAACAAATGAATAGATAAGAGAAGCTCTGGTATGTTCACACAATGGAATGCTACACTGCTTTGAAAAACAAGGAACTCATGCAATATTATTCAAGATGGGTGACACTGATGGACATTATGCTGAGTGAAATATCTCAGTCACAAAAGGACAGGTGCTGCATGGTGCCACTATTGTACAACAGGTCTGACATCAGGGTTGGAGTGAGGTTGAGAAAAATTGGATAAATGATGTATACTGCATTAAAACAGATGAGGGAGAGAACGGTTTGAAAACGATATATGATTGGATATTATGGTTATGACAAGAGTCCAGAATAAAGGTTGCATAGTGGAGTGTACTAGGGGCAGGAGGGGACAGATTCTATACCAGTGAAATAATTTTTCTTTTACTTTTCAAAGAGAAGAGTGAACTGGGGGGAAGCGATAGGCAGAGAGAAAAATGCAACAATGAATATATGGAAATCCAGAATCTCTGTAAATGTTCATTAAAATTAATTTTTAAAAAAAATTTGAAAGGAGGGGGACAGAAGAAATGCCTAGGATGTCAAAAGTCTTTGTCTCCTTCAGTGTGTCCCCTTCAAGTTCTGCACCCCCACATAGTATCTTGGCCTTTGTCCTCAAGTTAATATTTAGCGTTTTAAAAATATATCTAAATTTATTCACAGTATCAAATTAGATAAATTTTGAGGACGTCTGCTGTCCAGGACCTTGCCAGAGTCCTAAAGGGCAATAATGTCGGTCTAGAGACTAAGGTGTGCATGATTTTCGCAGTTATTTGCAGTGCATCAGAGACCTAGACAATGACTAAGAATAACAGAAACAGCATTGATGCCTCTGAGTTGTGGTGCTGGAGAAGAGTATTGGACGTTCAGTGAACTGCCAAGAGAAAGAACGGGGCTATCTTAGAGAGGGTGAAACCAAGTTTCTCCTTGGAGGCAAGGATGTTGGTGTTCCATCTCACATACTTTGGCCATGTGGCCAGGAGGGCCCAGTCCTTGGAGAAGGACCTCATGCTTGGAATGGTGAAGGGACAGCCCCAGAGAGGAAGACCCTGGATGAGATGGATTAGCATAGTAACTAGGATAATGGGGGTTGATGTGCCAGGGTCAGTGAGACTGCCCTCAGGATAAGGCAGGGTTCAGAGCTATTGTACATAGTGTCACAGATGACTCAGAGGCACATTAAAACAACAACTATCACAATAAGCACACTTTTGTCTTCAGTTCTTTTGTGTAATAGTGTGCATTTACCTAGCAGTCATAGTTGCATTCTTGATTTCTTGTAACTATGTAGTGGCTTAGTGTCTTAATTCCAACAGTTCATTAGCTATACTTGTGTTGAGTAGATAGATTGTATCCTAAATAAGAAATAATGCTACTTTTAACATTCTTGTATATGTCTTCTTTCATTCATGTGTGCCTGTATGTTTCCTTTTTATTTACGTTTCCTTCCAGTCTCATCTCTAGTAACCATAAATAATTAATTCTGTGTATAAACCTTTCCTTAGCTTTCTATATAGTACTCTTATACCATAATAGGGAGCTCGAGTTGCCTAGTTGTAAGAAGCTGTGCTCCAATCCAGAGGCACAGTTCTCCGCAGGAGAAAGATGGGTGGTTGTCACCAGTGAGATTTAGTGCCTTGGAAAACCCACAGGAAGGTCAGCTATGGGCCAGTTCTAGCTCTTAAGAGCACACAACAAAAACATATAATCTTTTTTTTTCCTTCTTGCTCTCATCTCTGTTAACCCTGAAAGTTGATTCTGTGTGTAAACATTTCCTTATCTTTTTTTATAGTAATGTTCTTATAATTGTTCTTTTATGACTTATGTCACTAAGCATAATTTGTTCGTTTCATCTATGCAGTGCAGTAGGTCACAAATTCTTGATCATTTTTTAGTGATGCGTAATACTCTATAATGTGAATGTACCATACAGCAGGCCAAAGAAACTGCTGCATTTTCTGGTGATTATATTTACCAGTTGTATCAGATGAATATCTAAAACTTGAATTATGGGATCACAAGGTTTTTAGCTTTAGGTAATTAGATGCTGCCAAATATTTCTGGAGAGTTTGTACTGAGAACAAGTCTTTACTGAGTAATCTGTCAGCTAAGAGTGTGTCATTCAGTTCCTTAACCCTATAATAAAAGGGAGCTCTGGGGGCTTAGCGATAAGGGATTGAGCTGCTAAAGGTACATGGTTCAAATCAACCAGCTGCTCTTCAGGGGAGAAAATGGCCAATCTCCTCCTATTCATTTTCCTCCCTCTGGAAACCCACTGGAGGGTCAGGTATGAATTTCTTCTGAGTTAACAGGTACATAACAAAAACAATATGCTTATAGGGAAGAATAAAAAATACTGCTTAGCTTTCAGCCCACAGTTGTTAAACAGATGTTTAACAGCTACGCTGATACAGCATGCCATTGTAGAAACTGTAGGTAGTTCCGTTTTGAAATGAAGAGATAGAGGATATGGGAAAACATAAGGGATCAGATATGAAGGTTTAGGAAAGAAGATATTATGGAGAACAGCGAATGTCATGCAGAAGATTAGTTTTTATATGGGAAGAACCTACAGTCATCAAAGAGTGATGAGCATTTGGTGTTTTCCATTTGAAGAAATTTATTTCCCCAGTTGCAGTAGGAAAAAATGCAAATATGGGATCTACATATTTTACATCGATGCAGTTCAGTATTTTAAGATCCAGATTTGCTCAGCAGTATCCTCGTTTTAACTTCACATTCTGCTTCTTTTCCTTTCCCCATTTCAGGATCAAACACATATGAAGAGGCAGCTGCATATATTCAGTGTCAGTTTGAAGACCTCAATAAAAGAAAGGACACAAAAGAAATATACACCCACTTCACATGTGCTACAGACACCAAGAATGTGCAGTTTGTTTTTGATGCTGTAACAGATGTCATCATAAAAAATAATCTAAAAGATTGTGGCCTCTTCTGAGTTTTGCAGTCAATGGTAAAATGCATTTTTCAAACCAAATGAGTACCTATATGTGGATCTCTCTAGACTAGAGTCTTGCAGCAACACAGAATGTAGTATACAGCAAATGCCGCTGGGACCTGACCAAAGTTGTTCTTTTTTAAAAATAAAACAAAAAAAAAAATCCCTTAAACTAACAGAAGGACCTTTCTTACACGTGAAAGGCTCCTGCTGAGTGCAACTGAAGGACAGTGTTAAAGCGGGGCTCTAGTGTATTGATGATTTCTGCTAAGTGTAAATATGCAAATGTATGTACATGTATTTATTAGTTTTTCACATTACCTTTAGATTTTAAGAACGGCATCTTAAGATTTTAGCGTGAGTGGCTTGGGAAATAACAGAAATACCGAGTACCTTGTGCCGAATGACAGACTGTTGCCATGTTTGCCAGTTTTAAAAAGCTTTATTTATGTTCATGTCCTATAAATTTTTAAGTACAGTAACTAATACTAGGAAACATTGCAGACCTTATCTTGATAATATGTATACTTGTAATCATAAAAAAATGTTATTTGTACAAACATTGCACAGACTATTTTAATAACATGATTTGTTCTTTACATTTAATATGTTTTATTGAGATGTTCCTAAAAGGATGCATATATCTGTCTTTGGATCAGTTACTTAAACACCATCTACATTTTCATTTTCCTTTTATTTTAAGACTGCCCGCTGCTTTAGTTCTGCATTTAGATTGGGTTTTGAAAATTAAAAATTCATATTTTTAAAAGTACACTATATTAGACTTCTTATATACTCTTAATTTCTATTCAGTTGGTTTGTTGTCACTTTGAATTTTAATATTTAAATAATATCCATGCATTGCCTTAAAGGTGATGTCTAGATTAATTTTTATACTCTTTCAATAACTACATTTTTATTTAAAACTAAGTTTAGGTGGATGCTGAGAGTTTTTTGTGGGCCAAATAAAAAAGTCAGCATAATGAATTTTGATACATTCATTTGTGTATTTCCTTTGGGAATTCCCTTGTACCTAGCATACATGATAGTTCCGTGTTTGGAAGATAGCAAAAAAGATCTTTGAATACTGTTGACATAATGCAAGCTTTAAATTCATGTATGTAACTAGTTTCAAATCTAATTATTATACTGTGCTAAAATTACTTTTTCCCTTTACATAGATTATTCAGATTTTCTCCATCTGCTTGAGTCTATATTACTTCTTTTGAAAATGTGCTATTATTTCTGAAGAATGAAATGGACAATTACACTTAGAAAATGAATAGTAGTATTAAATAAAGTCAGTGATTATATGTATGCGCAAATAAGTGTTACATATTAGCTAGATATTGAACTTCGTTAAAATAATTTTTCTTTTGGTAACTCATGATGTCTTTGTGACCTTTTCTTGGCAAAATTAGCAGTATTTCCCACTCCACTCTATTTTTTTTTATACTCATTTTGAAAAGTTAGTCTTTTAGCAGGCTTTGCTGATAAGTAGATAGTAAGTTTAATTATGTGCTGTCATTTTGTATATGTTGAGGTATGTGTGTATGTGTGGGGGGAGGGGTGATCACAAACTACATCTATATCTGTTTCATTTTGGGGACTGTTACTTTGTTTTTCCTTTCTGTAATGTAAAAGACCCCAAATCCTAGTCATCAAAATTTCCTCAATGTGTTAAAATTCTTTATGTGCCTTTCATGAACAATATGTTTTTGATTAATTTAACTAATGGAAGATCTGTAATGTCCACATTGTGAAGCTGTGTATGAAATTCAACTACATTATGAATAAATTTGAATCATAAGAAATACAGTTTTAAAAGCCACAAAGAAGCACATATTGGTGATCATCATTGATGAATTCCTGAACTTTATTCTGTGTAATTGTGTTACTAATAAATCCTAATAAATTTAAATTTTTAAAATTTTCCAAATCTGCTGACTAAACATGTTTTGCATTAGGAGTTGGAGTCAGTCTGTCATATTTTCATTTTCTTGTTCCTGTACTTTTTTCTTTTCATACATTGATATACTATACTTTGAGTTGCTCTTTCCCAAGTTCTCTTGAAATAATGATGTCACTTTTAGAATTGCTTGCTTCACAGTTTTTAGAGAATTCATTGCTTTCTTCAGCCTAATGTGGCCAAAGTCAAAATGTCATTCTCCCAGTTCTCACATCAGACCCTGCTGTTTCCGCTGCTATCTTGAGGCTGCTAAGTGATAGCCTGGCCTGGCCAGATTTACGCTGCCAACCCAAAGACCACACCTCTGACAGTTCAAATCACCAGATGCTTTGAGATAGAAGGATGGGGAGGCTCCTCGTGTGTGGTTTACAGCCCCCAGGAAGCTGCTGGAGAGTGTGCAGTGAGTTTAGTGAGAGTTCTGAGGGTGCCTCCTGCTCTAGTGTGCCAGATGAAGAGGCCACCCCACCGGTGAGCAGGCCTGGCCATCTGCTTGACTTTGTGGCAAGGAGTTGTGCAACCAACTCATAGGCAGACGCTTTGACTTCACAAGCTTCTCCCATTGGAAAAAGATGAGTAATGGCCTCCTGTGCTGTTTACAGCCTCCGAGAAGCCTACTGGAAGGTCAGCTGTGAGTCAGTTTGGAAATGATGGCACGTGACAACAAATGTCATCCAGTTGATTCAGGGAAAGAGAAGATCCTCAGACGACGGGTTGACACTGATTGTGACAATGGGCTCAAGTATATCAAAGAGGATGAGGATGGCACAGGGTAAGACAGGGTTCAGATCTCGAGGAGTCGAACTTGATGGCACCTAACAAGAAGACGACCAACAATTTCGTACATATTTACACCCTTGATTATAATGCAGAACCATTCACAATGACTTGTGTAATTGAATTAATTTAATGATGAAGTCAGCATTACAGACATTAGCACTGTCACTGTTTAGCATTATTTTAGAGGCAGAAAGTGTCCAGTCTTAACTAACCCAGTCTCATTAACTGGATGACCTTGAGCAAGTATTCCCTGTTTCTGCCTCCTTTTTATCATGTGGATATTGGGGTTTAAATAATAAGACTTTTAAACTTTTTTAAGAAAATTTCCTATTTTGTGATTTTAATAAGTTTACAGAAAAGTTAGATTTTAATTCCTTCACTGTTAGACATTTTACCCTCTCCCTCCCATTGCCCTCCCCCCAGCTTACTTTTTTTAATATTCATTCATTATTGCACAATTACTTCCCCCTCGCCTCCAGTCCTCTTTGCAATGTACCAATTATTCTGGGCTGCTGTCATACGTATAATACCTAATCATACATATTGGAACAGATGAGGAAAGCACTGTTTAATCATTAATTTTAATGGTTGTTGTTATGTGCCGTCGAGTTGCTTGCGACTCATAGTGACCCTATGTACAACAACCCTAAACTCTGCTCTGTCCTGTGCCAATGGCACTATCTCCGACACTCCCATCCCGATTATCCCAGTCACGGAATCAATCCACCTCATAGAGGGCCTTCCCCTCCTACGCCGTCCCTCCACCCTCCCAAGCATGATGTCCTTCTCCAAGGACTGGTCTCTCCTTACAACATGTCCAAAGTATGTTAGAAAGAGCCTCAGAATCCTTGCCTCCAAGGAGCCACCTGGTTTAACCCTTTCCAGGATAAATCTGTTTTCCTAGCAGTCCATGGTATTCTCAATACTCTTCTCCAGCACCACAGCTCAAAGGCATCAATTCTCCTTCATCCTCCTTGGTCATTGTCCAACTCTCTGATGCATAACAAGTGATTGTGAAGACCATGGCCTGTATCAAACGCACCTTAGTCTCTAGAGAGACACCATTGCTCTTCAGTACTTTGGAGAGGTCCCTAACAGCAGACTTTCCCATGGCAATGCGCCTTTTCATTTCCTGGCTACTGGTGCCAAGAGTGTTGACTGTGGAGCCAAGCAAACTAAAGCTGTGTACAATCTCAATCTCTTCACCATCCATCTTGATGCTGCCAATTGGTCCAGTGGTGAGAATCTTTGTCTTCTTGATATTGAGCCTCAATCCATAATGTCAATTTTAATGGTTACCAGTATTAAATTCACCATCGTAAGCACTTAGGAGTCAAACTGTATCAAACCCCAAGTAGATTTTGCTATTATTTAGTTGTAAACAATTTTAAGATGTCCATTAAATCATCATTAGTGCTTAACAAATACTTGTTAATTCACATTTGTAAATGCCTCAAAAGCAATAATCATCGCAATTGGTCTTAGAGTTGGGAATTTTTTTTTTCACCTTCATATCAATTTTGGAAAAATCCACAAGAGACCCGTCATCTCTTTAGCTTACAGTTGTGTTACAGAAAAACCTGGAGATTTATGTTATTTTCAAGTTTGAAAAATTTGTTCTTGGTGTTATTTTTCAAACCCCTATCTTAACAACTAAAATGCATTTATGTCAGGTTTTTTATTTCACAACTCCACTGGCCTGTTTCCCAGGCATTTCCCCTTTAACCAAGAACTGCTTGCTTTGGCGTCTGTTGTGATTTGTGATATTGACTTGAATTTTTTCGTTTCCTTGAAAGTTATGAAACACATTTCATCAAGTCAGAAATACACCCAGATATGCACAGGCAGGAGTCAGATACCGTCATCCAGGCCAGCACTGAGGAGGCCTGACCAGGCCCAGTCTGCCATGCTTCCACTCAAACATTTCCAGCTTCTCTGATTTATTATCCGTCTTCAGGGTTCATACCAAGGAAATGGAACACTCATTTGAAGAGAGAGTTCTTAAAATTTAGATCACAGTGTAGTCCATTTCAAACAAGGCAGTAGGTATTGAGGAAAATATCAAGGCAGAAGCTGTCTGTTGTTTTAGCAGGTAATATTATTATGTGCCATTGAGTCACCTGCGACCCTATGTATAGCAGCTCTGAAGCCTGCCCTGTCCTGAGCCAGTCTCCCTGATTCTGACACACCAACCCCCATTGCTCCACTTACTGTATCAATCCATCTCATCTGGGATCTTCTTCGCCTGCACTGTCCCTCCAGCCATCCGAGCATGATGTCCTTCTCCAGTGATCTGTCCCTTCTGGCCATGTGCCCAAAGTATGTGAAATGGAGCTTCAAAATCTTAGCCTCCAAGAAGAAACTTGGTTTCACCCTCTCCAAGACTAACGTATTTGTTCTCTTGGCCTTTCATGGTATGTTCAAGACTCTTTTCCAGAACCACAACTCAAAGGCATCAATTCTTTTGCCATTCTTAGTCATTGTCCAGTTCTATGAAGCATAGCAAGTAATTGCAAAAACCTGGCCTAAGGTGCACCTTAGTCTCTAGACTGAAATCATTGCTTTTCAGCACTCTGGAGAGGTCCCTAAAAACAGATTTTCCCAGTGCAGTTTGTCTTTTGATTTCCTGACTGCTGCTGCCAAGAGAGTTGATTGTGAAAAGCTGTAATTTTTAACAACCTCAATCTCTTCACCATCTATCATGGTGCTGCCAATTGGCCCTGTAGTGAGAATCTTTGTCTTCTTGATGTAGAGCTTCAATCCATATTGAAGACGACAGTCCTTGACCTTCTGCAGCAAACACTTCAGGG